TGGTTTTTGGTTTTAAAAACACACACAATGATTGAAGATAAACTAAATTGTTGAGCCTTTTTCGCTGGGCTGTTTTTGTTTTAAAAAGAGAAGCTTTTCCATTATGAGAACATCTGAAGTGCTCAATTAAAGCAATTTTGTTTCGCTCCTTAAAAGAATAAAATAAAAAGGGCTATTTTGCTTTTTTTGCAGCACCATTACATTATATGGGAACATAAATACCAGCTCTCAATATTAATTATTTGAGCAAGGGAAGTTCTTAACAGTAGCAGTAATTCTCCTTTTATGAGGCACTAAGAATTCCAAGAGAATATATCTATACGCACGCACAGATAGATGAATAGATTGTGATGACTGCAGAAATCTCAGCGTGTGAATATTATACCGTTTCCTTCAAAGTTTTCCCGTGCATTCATTTATCAAGGCCCTGTCAGGGCTGTCTCTCCCCAAAATGCACCCCGCAGGCAGATTCTTTTCTTTCATTCTAGCCCTGAAAGGATAAGAGGAAATATTGGTATCCCCCCCCCCCTCTGAATGCTAGTTCTTAGACCAGTGTTTCTCAACCTTGGCCACTTGAAGATGTCNGATTGTGCAGCTGTTACTGTTTAATTTAGTATTAAATCACTCCTTTCCTTTGAAGTTTTAAACTCCGTAGAAATTCAAAGCCCGAACAGTGTTACGAAGCTGCTCGGCGCCATTTTGAATATCTATTTAGCAAGTAAGATATCAGAAGGAATTCTTGTAAAAATGAAGCTAAGGATTAATACAAACAATTAAAAGTTCATGTGTACAGGGTCTGCTCGCCTTGGATTCAGTAAATCAAATTTTGTTCTGAGGATGGGAGGTTTGCTTTGTGTTGCTAATAGCAGCAGGAATTCCTGGCACGGAGACAATTCTGCTCTCGAGTGCCCTTCCCCGCTCCCACAGTCGATCTGAGAGAGTTAGTTGGCACGTTGCCCAGCACAATTAGCTCACCTTATCTTCTTGACCCGAAGAAAAGGTAAACAAGCTGTGAGATGACTGATGGATTGCTCATCCGACAGTTTAACATGACCAGGATTCCGGAGCTGTAATGACCAGCTCCCACCAGCAAGCCCCTCCCCCACCGGAAGTCCAAAATGTTTTGCAATGGGTTGTTGATGATGTAAGTAATGTTATGTTATGATGGCTGTTCATTTTCCAAATTGCTCATGAAATAAACCTCTGAACCTTAAAGTAAGAATTGTTTATTGTATTGCTGTTTCGTTTCTTTTATTGGATTCATTTTATGACAGTTTTGTATCTCTTTTTGCAGACATTGTAAAGAATATATAGTGTATGATGTTCAAAGTCTTTAATTTATTATTGCTGTAATGTTAATATAGTCCTAGTTCCTCTTATGGCTGAATTTCCACAGCAAAACATAAGCAATATCTTCTCAAGGATGAAGAGTGTAAATGTTCCATAACAAAGCACAGAAGAAACAGATAATGACTCTCACAGTGGAGAGTAAATAAAAAAAGAAGAAGAAGAAAAAAAAGGGGGGGGGGATGTTCCAATATCTTTAAAAAGGAAAAAAAGACCAGAGATATATACAACAGAGTAAAATAACAAAATGCTTTTAAGAACAAGTGAAATACCAAATCCTTACAGTAGAAATCTCATGTAAATCAAATTCAATCACTTTCACTACCAAAAGGAAAGTCCTCACATTGTTGACTTCCATGCAGCAAAAAGAGAAAATGTTAGGGTTCCAAGTAACACTCCCAGCAGAAGTAAAACTCCAAGGCAGGCATTTTCCCCAAAGTTCCATTTTATTTGAGATGTCACATTGGCACATCTGGGAAAACCTGAATCTGAGAGCCCTCTGGGTTTTCCCCACCCAAATCAAAATCAAAGTTCCTTCCCCTGCACCCACATGTCAATCACATGGTCCAATCATGTCCCGTCCCAACTGGAGTTGCTTCCCAGTCACGGCTCTCTAGGTACAGGCTGAACGTCCTTGACTCCCAGGGAAAAGAATGTTGTTATGGCTATACATCTCACCCTGTCTCCATCCACCACCACCCTCCTGTTTCCCACAGCATGTCCATCCAGCCCTGAAGATACAAAGTAAAAGATGGCCTCCAGGGCTGACAGAAAGTGTTATTTAACTCCAAAATGAAACAATGGAAAATTCACTTTTGCAATCCAACATGGGGGGTATAAGATAAATCAGCATTCAGCCAGATGTTTAACAGTTAAAAATGTAGTTATTTCTCAAAGACGATAACTGCGATAAACTGAAAGCACAAATTAAAACAGACTTGGAAAACTGGAAAAATTTACAACTGTCCCTATTGGGTAGAATAGCTACAATTAAGATGAATATCCTGCTGAGATTATTGTACCTGTTTCAGACAATCCCAATAAAGTGTGTGGGGGGGTATTTTGAAGAATTAAATAAGATGATATTAAAATTTGTATGGCAAGGTAAAAAGGCAAGAATAAAATTAAAAATGCTACAAGATGTTAAAAGTAGAGGAGGCTTTGGTCTTCCAGATTGGGAGCTATACTACCAAGCATCGGCACTTACGTGGGTGAAAGATTGCGTTAATTTGAGGAATACAAGATTACTAACACTGGAGGGTCATGATTTTCAATTGGGATGGCATGCCTTTTTATGGTACAAGAAGGCTGAGATACATAGCTATTTCCAGAGGCACTACATTAGGAAGGCATTACTGTTAGTATGGACCAAAATTAAAGAGCAACATTACCTGAAAATACCAGTTTGGTTATCTACAATACACCCAAATGTCATAAATATGGAAAAAATCATAAGATACAAGGACATACTAAATGAAATGGGAGAACTAAAAATTAAACAAGAACTAAATAGATTATGGATTGACCTATCATGGTGGCCACAATTACTGATACAATCCAAATATGAAAAAGATAGGAAGGAGTATGGGATTTATAAAGAACCAAATGAGCTACACCAGATGCTAATGGGAGCAGATGAAAAATTAACTAAGATGATATATAATTATTTAGTAACCATTAAATTAGCAATAGCAATAGCAATAGCAGTTAGACTTATATACTGCTTCATAGGGCTTTCAGCCCTCTCTAAGCGGTTTACAGAGTCAGCATATTGCCCCCAACAACAATCCGGGTCCTCATTTTACCCACCTCGGAAGGATGGAAGGCTGAGTCAACCCTGAGCCGGTGAGATTTGAACAGCCGAACTGCAGAACTGCAGTCAGCTGAAGTAGCCTGCAGTGCTGCATTTAACCACTGCGCCACCTTGGAAGAAGAACAAGTAAAAGAAACTATGATAATTTGGGCTAAGAATTTTGGCTATACAATCAAATTAGACAAATGGCAGAAATTGTGGAACAGAAACTACAAGCGTACAATGTCAAGACCGTATAAAGAAAATCTCTATAAAATGTTTTATAGATGGCACTTGTCACCTGCAAGAATAGCGAATATGTATAAAGATAAATCTGTCAAATGTTGGAAATATAACCAAAATACCAGGTTCATATTATCACATATGGTGGACGTGTCCCAAAGCAAAAAAATATTGGAAGAAAATTTGCATATGGCTGGAAGCTATGATAAAACAACACATAGACTTGAAACCTGAGATATTTCTGTTGGGCATGCTACCAGAAAATTATAATAAAGGTAATGCATATTTAATTCTACATATATTAACAGCAGCCAGGATTGTATATGCTCAATACTGGAAAAATGAAGAAATCCCCACAGATGAGAATATAATAAAAAAAAAATACTGGAATGTGCAGAAATGGATAGGCTAATGCTAAAAATCAAAGAAAAAGAAAATTCTGAATATTTTATGACATGGGAAGTTTTTTACAATTGGCTAGTCAATAGATACAGAGGTCAGATGGGTGGATTTATGTGACAATATTGATTATATGAGAAAGAAAAATTGATTAGTAAACACTTTGATGGTTATATAATTGATGTCAATATGGAATATGGTATACTTTATAACAATGATTGATGTTATCTACTATATGTTTGTATGTTGATATGATCACAATGATTAGGATGATGTTTAAATTTCAACACTTTTGTTACCTAGAAAACACACTGTTCAATTTAGAAATGGAATTTGCGATATAAAAACAATAAAAAACAGTTAAAATGTAGATCAAGACAAAAGAGAACTTCAAAGCATGATGTTAAAACCAGGATGCACCTAAAAAACAAACAGCAACTAGAAACGATGGAAACCAGACCCCTCCGGCTATGCTGACCAAGAATCACGGTCCGCTGGATTCTCTTCCCAGGTAAGAACATAGACGTTCGAGGATCACTGTGGGTTATTCCAAGTTACTCCCATTCAAGACCCAAGCTATTCCAAGCTACCGAGCTAATATGCAGATTTTGAAAATGTATTTGGGGATGAAGAAACAGCAGTCTTTTCCCCACATAGAGACTACAACTGTGCTATAGGCCTGGTCCTGGGGCTAAAATACCTTCTGAGAGGCAGTAACCCATGTCACCTAAGGAACTGTCAATTTTGAAGCAGTATTTTGATGGAAGGCTGAGTCAACCTTGAACCTGGTGAGATTTGAACTGCCAAATTGCAGGCAGCCAGCAGTCAGCAGAAGTAGCCTGCATACTGCATTCTAACCACTGTGCCACCATGGCTCATACCCAAATGATGAAGTTCTCCTGTGGACCATCCACAACTACTGTATAATATGTTGTTAAGTGTGAAATACCATGCAATAAAATATAGATAATATAAGATAAGAATTGCCCTTGCCTTGCCTACATCATTTGAGCATTACCTATCCAAGCCCTGGGAACAACATTGTTTTTCTTTCTTCTGTTTGTTTCTAATTTAAACATCAGATGCTATTATGTTGAAAATGTGACTGTTTTGTTTGGTATTTGGTCTTTTCTGTTACATTTTATTTCAAATTCTTGAATCTTCTTGAAACTGATAAAAATGCTCTCCCAATGTGTACATATGCAAAATACACACACACCTATGTACACCCACATTCTTCTACAATCATATTCTGGATGTCCTTTTTTACTATATTTTGCCCATCATCGTAATAAAGCATAGACATTGGCCGTGGCTTGGTAGGTACATAGCATGACTTGAGGTTGGAGAAAGGACTGTGGCCTCTCATGCGGTAATGGTTGGTAACAGTGGAGTGGAAAGAGAGGGTAAAACCAGATGTTCCTGCAGTATGACTGGGACAATCACCTTCACAATAATTGGCATGGTAGCCTTGTGGGGCAATAATCCAGTCATTCCAATCAATGTCTCTGAAGCTAACAAAGAAGTGCTTCTTGTAGCAAATGTTGACTTTACCATCACATTCAAGGCCTCGCCTCCTCCGTCTGTGCTGCCGATCCTCTGACTGCCTGGCCAGCAACATTAGGAATGGCCTATGTGATTGCACAGACCCGACCAAACAGGCCCTTAAGGCCAAGGCCATTAAACATCTCCTAGACATCAGGGCCATTGAAAGAGTCCCAGAAGGGGAGAAGGGCTCCGGGTTCTACTCGAACCTCTTCTTAGTTCCCAAGAACTCAGGGGGATGGAGAGCCATCCTGGATCTTAAACTACTTAATTCCAGGTTGGTATACCGCAAATTTAAGATGGCCTCCTTGAAATCCATCTTGGAGGGCATCCGGCCGGGTGATTTCCTAGCCTCTATCGATCTCACAGAGGCATACCTACACATCAGGATCGCCCCGGAACACCGTAAATTCCTTAGGTTCTCCCACGAGGGGAACCACTTCCAATACAGAGCTCTACCCTTTGGGCTGGCCTCAGCCCCCAGAACATTCACCAAGGTTCTTGCAGCAGCCGCAGGCCACCTGCGATCCCTCCCAGTCTGTTTGTTCTGTTATTTAGACGACATCCTCGTCTTAGCCAGGTCGCCAGACTCGGCTGAACGGAACTTGGGTACCACCATCGACACCCTTAGGGCCCTGGGTTTCTCCATCAACCTCGAGAAGAGTCACCTAGTTCCCTCCACCAGGCTCCTTCACCTAGGGTCCATCATTGATTCAGTGGCTGGGGAGGTTTTCCTGTCCCAAGATTGCAAGGACAGCATCGTTAGGATGATCCATGAGGTTTGCAAGTTACGCTCTGTCCCTGTAGTTCTTCTTTCCAGGCTCCTGGGGAAGTTCATCTCCTGCATAGGGATCGTGCCGTGGGCTCGACTACACGCCAGGGAGCTCCAGTGGTTCCTACTGCCTCACCAGAGAGCCGGGACGAGCGACGCCACCTTCAGGATCCAGGTGACCCCCCAGGTGCTGCTATCCTTTCGTTGGTGGCTGTCCCCAGCCTTGAACAGGGGATGCCTCTTCAGGGAACCGGCAATTATTACCTCAGTCTCCTATAGGCAAGAGGGCTGGGTTAATACCCATTGGTTACTCCTCCCACACCTTTCTTCTAAACATGCAGTTCAGGTAAGTCCAACTGCCATTTTCCACAAGTTGAGAGCTGCATTTTGCCAGTTTCTGCTGCTGATAGAGCTGAATGGTTACTTTTGTTCTGGTCTGATTAGCTTTAGATACTTTGAGGAAAAGCCACACATCAGCTTGAGCCACCACTGACAGGTCACTGCCTTCCTTAGAGATTTCAAAATGCAGCATTTTCCTGGCAGGACCTATAGTAGAAAAAAAAGAAAGATAGAAAAAAATGACTTAGTGAGGGGAGAACACTTTTTTAAAAATGGAGAGAAGGTGGCATTGTAGCAAACACACTGGCTTTTTAAATTATAGGTTTTATCCCATCCTTTATTTTTTCCTTGATTTAAGAGCAGTTTTACTCTGTTGTAAAGTGGTCAGCTCAGTCAAAAGTCCTGAAGCCCATTTTTTACCAGTCTAAAGAGGAAGCAGGGTGGGAGGGAGGGAGGGAGGAAGGAAGGAAGGAAAACACTGAGAATGGGAGAAGCATTTACTGTGTAGAATATAATTCTTTCTGCCTCTGGCCCCTTTTTGTTGAAACATCATCATTTCTGAAGCTCTGTGACTTTAAGATGGTGAGGACGGGAGGACTGATATATCCCAGCCAAAATAAAGAAGCTGGAAATCACTGTGGAAACTACTTTTGAAACTTCTGGACTTAAATCCTCTAAAGGATTTTATATCTTTAACTAACTCTGCTGAACTTCTTTGCTGACTGAAGAACAGCTGATAGGCCTGGCCAGATGGTCAGCTGCTCCAGTGGCAGAAGGGCGGGGCTCCAGACTTCAAAGGGTTAACTTTTTTCCTGTGCTCTTTGCAATGGAACTTGCTGTGTGCTGAGATTCCAGCTCAATAAACCATTGGGGAAAATGCAGCAAGTGGCGTCCTGACTTTGGGTTGGGTCCAGAGTTCAGACCTTTGAGAGCAAGATTAACAATGAACAAAAATGGAAGGACACTTTGATTCCCACAATGGAGGAAGGGCTGCAAAAGTTGATGTAGGTAGCACAAATGGCTAAATTGACAGCTTTGATAAAAGAAAAAACACAATTACTTTTGTTTCTACTTGGAAACCATTTCTGGACTTAGTGCTTGAGGTGGAAAAAAATGAAACTTTGATTTTGGGTTTTACTGATTAGATTTGTTGTTATAGGAATGGCTAGTTTATGCTATTATGCAAAAGTAAAAAGTTCAGGTTTTATGTTACTATGTTATTCTATTGCACCAAAGGGAGTTGGAAGTCAATGACTTTTCTTTCTTTTTCCCTTCCCTTTTTTCCCTATTATTTGCTTTTGCATTTTTTGTATTTTATATTATAAACTTATAAAAAGACTTTACTTGGAAAAAATATTGTAATAATCATCTGCCATCCTGACAGGTAATTGTCAGATTTTCACTGCAATGGAGTTTGGATTGGACAAATGTGCCACACTCACTATCAAAGAAGGAAAAATAGTGAAAACTGAAGGAATCAAGATGCCCCATGAAAATAACATTAAGAGTCTGGATGAAGATGATTATTACAAATACCTGGGTATCCTTCAAGCTGACAACATCAAGCACACTAAAGTCAAGAAAAAGATTAGAGATGACTACATCAAGAGAGTAGGCAATCAAGGCAATCAACACCTGAGCAATTCCAGTCATTAGATACAGAGCAGGAATAGTGGACTGGACTCAAGCAGAATTAAAAGCAATGGATTGGAAGACCAAAAAAATAATGACAATGAATCATGCCGTTCATCTTTGCAGCGACATTGACAGACTTTACCTACCAAGGTAAATAGGTGGGTGTGAAATGTTGCAAGTACACCAGATGGTTGAAGAAGAAAAAGGAGCATTGGAAGAATATCTGAAGGACAATGAAAAAGCTGCATGGAAGTTAGCAGAGCTCTGCTCCCTAAATCTGGTTTTTCAGGTCCGGAGGCCCTTATAGGGCACATCGATCCTGGAGGGATTAATGTATTAGTGGGGAGACTTGAGACTTCTTGGGAGGGAAACACAACAGCCACTCGGTCTTGTCTGGATTGAGAACAAGCTTGTTAACCCCCATCCAGACCCTGACAGCCTCCAGGCANGTTCATCTCGTGCATAGGGATCGTGCCGTGGGCCCGGCTACACGCCAGGGAGCTCCAGTGGCTCCTACTGCCCCATCAGAAAGCCGGGACGAGCGACGCAACCTTCAGGATCCAGGTGTCATCCCAGGTGCTACTATCCTTCCGCTGGTGGCTGTCCCCAGCTCTGAACAGAGGATGCCTCAAGCTAACAGTTAGGAAGGATTGGTGTTGGCGGTTTCTTCTTTATCTTCCTTTCAGACGCCGTTACAATCCATCAGTTAATCTGGGTAGCCAGAGGAGAGCAGGAGGTGTGGCTTCCAAAAGATTACCTCAGTCTCCAATAGGCAAGAAGGCTTGGTTAATACCCAATTGTTACTCCTCCCACACCTTTCCTCGAAACATGCAGTTCAGGTAAGTCCAACTGCCACTGTGCCACCTCATCTCTTTTAAGTAGGAGGAAGGGACATTAATCTTACTTTTATAGGACCCATACTTTACATTGTCAGGGTTGTTATTGTAATGTCAGTGCCAAGATGAAGCAAACTGACTGGCACAGACTGCAAAATCTATGTCTTACTTCACACATATGTACTAGGTTGTCCCACAGTTTGACGGTTTAACAAGCCAAGTCAATGGGGAAAACACTCAACAACCGTGTTACTAACTCAGCAACTGCAACAATTCACTCAACAACCGTGGCAAGAAAAGTTTGCAAAATGGGGCAAAACTCACTTGACAAGTGTCTCACTTAACAACAGATATTTTGAACTCAACTGTGGTCGATAAGTCGAGGACTATCTGTAAAGCATTTAAAAAAAATAAAGAAAGTCAACCCCAAAATATCAACCACAGCAATAGGCTAAGCTGCTAGGGAAAAAAAGAAAAGAAAGAAATCTCTTTTTCAGGGAAGAAAACTGAGCGTGATGGAACAACTCAGTAATTTTCATTTTTTTTACTCAAGAAAAATATAATTGTTGTTATTTGGTTCATTTCCTGTTCATCCACCAGATGGCGGTATAAAATAGGAAACAAGGAGACAGACATGCTGTGCAAGTTACAGATTTAATAGGCTGATTTAAAAAAAAATGTGAGCAAAATACAGTAAATCAGAGAAGAGCCTGAGGTTTTGTTTTGTTTAAAATCTCCCCTATGCTTTATTTTTGTAGCCAAATACAGGAAAACCAAAAAGAGCCTAGAGATCTGAAAGCAAGTTAAATTATTTAGGTTTATGGATAATAAAAGACAAGCGAAAGTGTTGAATCCCAAACTTACGTTTTCTGCTTTGGACTCTGTATTATTTTATGGCTCGGTTCATTTGTAAATTGCAGATTTTTCTTTTTAAAAAAGTGCAACAACCTTCTTCCAAGTCCCTGCCAATATTTCCTTGTCTGTGCTTGCACCTGCTTGGCAGCTCTTAAATTCTTTACAAAATGCATCCCTGTTTAATTCTTACTGGTGATTATCACGTACGCAGAGCGATTTGAGAGAGATGATTCCTCAAATTATATTCCAATTATTTTCAATTGCACTCTTGAGATGTTCTTAGCATGACATTACATCCTGTCAAGCTTTCTTATTTTTCAGTTTAAATTTCCAGCAGGTGACACGTAGAACAAGAAGTATTTGTCATGTATCCTGTTTGAAACCTGGCGCTTTTATTGGAAATACAAAATGTTTTTAAAAAAAAATATATATGGAAAGCTATTCTGAAATTAATCAATGTTAGGTTTGTGAACATTTCCAGTTTTCAAATAAGTGTCCTATGAAAGCAAAACTAATGTTCAGAAATAGTGTCACTCTTTGTTTGTATTTTAATATTTTTATTTTCTCAAGAGGCCACTGAATTTTCTGGTTTTTCTTTGAAGACATTTTACTTCTCATTCAAGAAGCTTCTTCAGCTCTACTGGATGGTGAGGAATGGAAGGACCATTCAGCCAGAGCTGAAGAAGCTTCTTGGATGAGAAGCCAAATGTCTTAAAAAAAAAATCAGAAAGTCCAGTTGCCTCTTGGGAAAAAAAGCACCTTTGGGACAACCATAACTTGGATGACTGAGAATATCTATAGACGTAAGGTAAGAAGATAACTGTTAATTGTTACTTTTTTTTGTGAACACACCGGGATATATATATCACGCTTTACTCACACAAACACGAAGCCGAAAACTCCAGTCTGAAGGTGGCAAGTGAGACCTTGCCGAAACGTTGCCAAGACAATGCCTTCAGCTTCGTGCTTGTGCGAGCAAAGCCTGATTGGAGGTGCCGTCTTTCTATAAAACCCAAACCCATCCCATAGACGAAATGCAACCACCATCCAGAAGCCAAACCACGGTGGCATCACCAACTGCTGCACCCCCCCTCCGACCCCCACACAAAGCAAACTGACACATGCCATGAACACATGGCCAGATGGTAAACTTGGAGCCAAACCAAAGCCTGGGATGTTACATCAAAGCCATCTGCTCAGGACATTACATCACAGAACTCAGGAGGTTACAACACAGCCAACCTCCCAGGATGTTGCAGCACAGGACTCAGGATATCACTACACTAGAGCTCAGGATGTCATCACACAGTCCATTACCCAGGTCGTTACAACACAAAAGACTAATGGGGACACAGCCAGTACTTCAGCCACACAGGATGTTACGAAACAGCCGACTAATATGCATACATCAATTACATCAACTAATCAAGATGTAACAACACAGCCAACCAACCCGCTTACAGCAACAAAGCCAGCACTCCACCCCCCCCATCTATATTTATAAAGAGACGGCAGCTCCGATCACACTTTGCTCACACAAGCACAAAGCCGAAGGTACCAGCCTGAAGATGGCGAGTGGGACCTTGTTGAAACGTTACCAAGTTACTCTCAATCTTACACGTGAAAAGACCCAAATATACATATGTGTGTGTGTGTGTGTGTGTGTGTG